ACGAATACACACGTGGCGGCAGTCGAGTTCGCACAATAAACAACCCTTTTGAGTTCACAGAATCGTGACATGGTGTCAGGAGTGGGATCTGTTCACCCCTAAAGATGACAGAAGCAGCTGAAGCATCCATAGTTGTGCCACCAGCGCCGACTCAAGTTTTTATTCCCCCGTCAAATTTGCCCCCGCCGAAAGCGCTTAATTTTGACGACAATTTAGCCACCGCATGGAAATCGTGGAAAGCAGCGTGGCAGCGCTACGAAATCGCTACTGGTGTATATAAACAAGAGGGCATAGTTCGTGTGTCGACATTACTAAGCATTATAGGCGAGGATGGCGTCAGAGCCCACGATACCTTTATTTGGAACGAAGACGAAAACGCAGACGACATTTCACAAGTCCTGAAGAAGTTCGACGAATTCTGCATTCCTAGGACACAGGTCATATATGAACGCTATAGGTTCAATAACCGAAACCAGGAACCAGGCGAAAACATCTCGACGTATCTTACGGAGCTTCGAACGATCGCAAAAAACTGTGCACACGATACAATCACACCAGATGAAATTTTGCGCGACCGCCTCGTGCTAGGCATACGGGATGATCGCGTCCGCGAGAGACTTCTCCGTTTGAATGATTTATCTCTCCTACAAGCAGTTGACATTATTAAGTCGTCAGAACAGACCCAACAGCAAGTAAAGCTAATGGCTGGAGGAGACACTGCAGTTCATGCGTTACGGAAGGCGGGATCGGCAGAAAAACCTGAAGAAGAACGACAACTTAAGTCACAAGCATTTAGAAGACCGTCTAAAGAATGTGGAAATTGCGGAATGGTGCATGGACGTCATTGTCCCGCGTATGGAAGAACATGTTTTAACTGTGGGAGTATGAATCATTTTGCGAATAAATGTCGCGCTAATCCCCGAGGAGTGAAAAGTAGAGTTTCGGCGGTCCACGAAGCCGTCGACATGGGAAACGACCCCTACTACATTGGTGCTACTACTAGTAAGAGCAAAGGCCAGGAAAAATTGGCAGTGGTCAAACTCCACATTTATGGGCCAGATCCCAAGACAGAAGTCCAGTTTCAAATAGATACTGGGTCGCAGTGCGACATTCTTCCGGCCCAATTATACAAGCAAATCACTGGGGACACCCTCCTTCATCGCCTCAAACCATGCCAAAAGGAAATAGTCTCGTACACAGGGGATCGCCGCAAAATTGCTGGTAAAGCTACCCTGCCTGTGTGGTCCCGTGGACAGCGGAGGTCAATGGAGTTTAACATCTTAGACGGAGACTATCAACCGATTTTATCATTGAACACCAGCCTCAATCTTGGCTTTGTGAGTTTGCATAATTGTGACGTCCTAGCATTACACGTCAAGTGTCCCAAAGCCTCCTTGCTCGAAGAGTATGAGGACGTATTCGACGGATTAGGGGCCCTACCGGGAACATACAAAATAGCCATAGACGAACAGGCGCAACCAGTTGTCCACGCACCGAGGCGAGTGCCAGTAGCCTTGCGTCCATGCATCAAAAACAAGCTGGACGAACTTGTTGATCGTAAAGTTATTATTCCAGTAACAGAACCGACGCAGTGGGTATCCAGCATGTTGGCCATAGTGAAGCCTAACAAAGTACGCATCTGTATTGACCCGAGAGATTTAAATCGTGCCATTCGGCGAGAGCATTACCAGTTGCCGACTATCGATGAAGTGGCCTCCCGCTTAACAGGTGCCAAGAAATTTACTCTTTGTGACGCCAAGGATGGTTTCCACCAAATCCTCTTAGACGATGCTTCTAGTTTCCTGACAACGTTCAATACGCCTTTTGGGCGTTATAGATGGGCCCGCATGCCTTTTGGTATCTCAAGTGCGCCTGAAGTTTGGCAGCGACGCATGCATGAATTCGTAGAAAATTTAGAAGGAGTTGAAGTTATCGCTGACGACTTCCTCATCGCTGGATTTGGCGAAACTGACGCAGAGGTCAACTCGAGCCTTGAAAAGAACGAACGTGCGTTCTTCAAGAAATGCCGGGAGTGGAACCTCAAGCTCAACAAACTCAAGCTGAAAAGATCTCAAACCGAAGTGCGTTTCATGGGCCACCTCTTGACTCCTGATGGTCTAAAGGCAGACCCAGCCAAAGTTGAAGCTATTTTGGATATGCCACCGCCGACTGATGTGAAAGGCCTGAAGAGGTTTTTGGGGATGGTCAATTATCTGGCCAAATTCTTGCCACTCCTGTCCGACATGACAGAACCTTTGCGAAGGCTTGAGGACAAGGACGTCGAGTGGTGTTGGCTTGCACAGCATGAGAAAGCATTTACCACAGTCAAAGAATACTTGGCCAAGGCCCCGGTACTGAAATACTATGATGTTACTGAAGAAGTGACAATCCAATGCGATGCCAGCATAACGGGTCTAGGTGCAGTACTGATGCAAAAGGGTCAGCCCGTTGCCTTTGCCTCGCGAGCTCTGACCGACACCGAAACGCGTTACGCTCAAATCGAGAAAGAGCTCCTCGCCATAGTGTGGTCAACCGACAAGTTCAATCAATACATACTGGGACGCGAAGTTGTACACATCGAGTCTGACCACGAACCACTAAGGGCAGTTTTTACCAAGCCAATACACAACTCACCAAAGAGACTCCAGAGAATGCTGATGGCCCTTCAGAATTACTCCCTGGATGTGCAGTATAAAAAAGGGGAACTTATGTGGGTATCAGATGCACTGAGTCGAGCATACCGCAACACCACCGAAGCCTCCAAGCACGATACAAGTCTGATCTGTACACTTGCCGAGATAGATCATTCAGAAAACCTCTCGATTGCACCATACAGGCTCGCTGAATTCAGAAACGAGATTGCCAGGGACCCAGTGATGCAAAAGCTAATCGGAGCAATCAAGGGTGAATGGCCAGTGTCAAGGAAGTCCTGTACCCCTGAGCTGACGCCTTACTATGACAAACGAAGTGAGCTTATAGAAGACAAGGGACTAGTATTCCTGGGGGAGCGATTGCTGGTACCCCCTTCCCTGAGAAAAGAAATGTTGAAGCAAATTCACCGATCACATATTGGAATCGAAGGGTGTTTACGTCGCGCTAGGGAGGTCCTCTATTGGCCCCTCATGAATTCGGAAGTAAAGGACTTTGTTTCCAAATGCTCAATCTGCCAGTCGTACCAGCCAGATCAGTGCCGCGAGGAATTGCAACCGTATCCGATCCCGTCGCGTCCCTGGTCGATGCTAGGTGCCGATTTTTTTGACCTTGGGCAACAACATTTCTTTGTCCTAGTCGACTACTGGAGTGGGTTCTTTGAAGTCCAGGAGGTTAAGGTGGCCACATCTGCTAGCGTGATAGCTGCGTGTAAAGTACAATTCGCCCGCCATGGGATACCAGACGTGCTTATTACCGACAACGGACCTCAGTTTACGTCATCGGTGTTCAGTGCATTCGTGAGAGAATGGCAGTTTGAACATAGAACTTCGAGCCCCCGTTACCCCCAGTCAAATGGCCGCGCCGAGAATGCCGTGAAGACCTGCAAGAACTTGATGACGAAAGCGAAAGCGGATGGGCAAGACCCGCTGTTAGCCCTTCTTGATTGGCGCAACACCCCAACAGAGGGTCTAGGAACATCACCCGTACAGAGACTGATGGGACGCCGCACACGCACTTTCTTACCAACCCATGAAACGCTCCTGCGGCAGCCATCACACCAGGAAACAGCCACCAAATTAGCTGAGCGCAAGAAAAGACAAGCTAAACAATACAACAAAAAGTTTCGCCCTTTAGAGGCACTAAAGTGTGGACAGGCCATCAGGATGCGGCTTCCCGGAAGGGAGGAATGGAGTCTGGGGACCTGCATGAAAGCCTTGGGGAACAGGTCTTATGAAGTTGAAGTTTGCGGCAGGCGATACCGACGCAACCGTCGGCAACTGCGCCTGACCCCGGAAACAGCACCACCTATGAGTCTGGTAGAACTAACTCCGCCCGAGTCTACCCTCAAACCGGCGCCAAATCTGACAGAGCCAGGACCTCCTCCACCGGAGTTCCATGGCGAGACCAAAACAGAGAGAATGCCACCTGAAAATGAGATGGGAACTGAGCTTGAGCCACAAAGGATTGAAACTCGTCGATCAGAACGCAGACGTCGACCGCCTTTGTGGCATCAGGATTACCATATGAACTGAACATTGAATGATTGAGCCGCTAAATAGTTGTTGGGTTCTGTTTCTATCTTTTTATGATTTCAATGAAGAACAATGTTTTATCGATTTTATGTGATTTGAACAGTGATCGAAACCGAACATTAAGTATTAATTAACTTTTGAAGATAAACTTTGTAAAAAGGGGAAGATGTCGTGATATTGCGTTACACGGTCACGCCACTGGGCCGATGAACATCTTTATATTTAGAAGACTTAGCAGACAACGAATACACACGTGGCGGCAGTCGAGTTCGCACAATAAACAACCCTTTTGAGTTCACAGAATCGTGACAATTATATCAATATAAGTCAAAACTTAAGGGGAAATAACCAAGAGATGTCCAACATTATTTTCCTCTTACAGTCGACGAATTGTTTAAGTTTAGGCATGAAAATTAACTATCGGTTTGTAAATATCATTTTCTCAGACGAAGGGTTTACGGTGGAAACGTCAACTAACATTATCAACTTAGTTGATAAAACCAAATTATCTTGATATACCGCAACTGACACAGCACTGTAGTTTCTTTAGAAACTTACCCCTTTATTCATCTCTCGATTTTTAGATTTACTATGACCAACTGCAGAGTACCTCGCAACTAAGCAACCTCCTTCTCCTACGCTAATAAGGAAGTCGATCCTCGAAAGTTATTGCCCAGGTCACTCTGCAGTTATCCCGACGATTCCGTCTTCAAACGATTTCAGAGAATTTCTTGATTTTCTCTCAGCGCGCTATATGGAGCTCTGTTTTGATTGGTCTGTTGATAGTTAGTTCCCAGGCCTTCAGTATAAGGAATAGAGGCGTTTTCAACATGGCTGCTCCACTTTGGTTCTTCAATCGCCTTGTATATGTAGTTTGAAGTATTGGTTCATAGGTTTTGGTGCCGGTATGCAGAAGCAGCCCATACCACCCGCTAGAGGTCATAAGCAAAGGATAGTAAGTTCTACCAACGTACTGTTTTAAACTTTTAAAATGAAATTGATCGTGGAAAGATCTAGACAGAAATTGAGAAGTCCTAGCCGATGTAAGGATATCATACATTCCTCATAGCTCTTGTGTCTATTCATTTATTCGTTTATATCATTCTGTACAATGTTTTCTTCGATTCGTGCTTTGGTTCTGTAGAAGTCGTCGCTTGACCCTTAAAGGGGACGTTTGTCGAGCATCAAACCGAGGACGTTGTTCGAGAAATGTGTCGAATACTCAGTTGCATTTGAAGCCTAAGCTTTAATTTATTAATGTCAGAAAACATTTGGAGTAATCTATATGAAATATGTGTGCTCCTGGAAAACAGTGTAGGCGCATTCAGAAAAGTGAACCAACTCCAAAGTTAACTTCATTTCATCGTGTTATTATCAAAACAGAATAACTTTCAGCTGCAGGGTCAACTGTTCACATCCCTTACTCACTGTTTTGAACGAAAGATTGATGAAATGCGCATTAACTCTTAATCAGGGGTTTCAATAACTTTTTCTATGTGGCTTTTGATGGTGTGTTAGGTGTCTTTGCCTGGTACATTGGCTTTAAGGCCTCTTTTCCCTTGGGAGGTTTTAGAGGCATGCTAAACAGACAGTGGTTAGAAGTCTTACAGGCAGGGGCAGACTGCCAGTAACCAGCTTTCATTAAAACCCCTGCTCTTAATGGTTGTACTTTGTCCATTAGTGTTGTGATGATCAATTGGTAGTTGATAAATGGACTGAAATTTGAATCGTTGCAAGCTACTTCCTCCTGATACTCTTTAGTGAAAAAAATTTATGCAGCAACTCCTCTCCATCTCAAAGAGGAGACAATAGTACTGAACAGATAGAAGTTTTGTCTTGGTGTGATAAACAAAGTAAGGTGAATTGTTCTTAATGTATGAGCCTGTGGCCAGCAATCAGTCAGTAGAGAAGGTCAAAGAAAGATCAGAATGGCAAAACTGTTGGGGGTCTGGAAAAGGAAAATTGGAAGGGAGGCATGTAGGCATTATCTGCATTTTCAAAACCATGCGCAATGTTTGTTAAAACAAAGGAAACAACTGGTCTATAAGATGAACTGTGTGTCTGTTTTCTGATTGATCATTTAAGGTAACAACTCATCACAGGGCTTATATTATGCAGTTCTTGGAGGAATTGCTGAAAATTTTTGATATGTTGTTGGTAGGAACACTGTGGCTGGCTGCGTAAGCAAGGTGGCAGATACAGAAACTTGAGATCAAGATGGTTTGAACTGAAAGGAGATCAGCTGTATTATTTCAGAGACAATAATGTGAGTATATGGTGAACCATGTAATTTTCCCAAAGCTATCCTTTTAAACTTGGTTATCTTTGTACAGTCATACATATAGCACACAATGATTAAAGGAAGAAAGGCTTGACCCTTTACACTGTAATATCAACATGCAAGTTCTTTACACTTTTCTCTGTGCATTTCTCATGGAGAATTTGTTTAGCAATCAAGAGCTTCTTGAAGTTGGAGTCATTTCCTTTATTCTCTTGACCCAAATGTTTGATTCAGGTGTAATACCTCTGGGATAAATTAGATGCTTATCATTCTAAGGAGTTAAAGGGTTTGTTGATTACAAATGCTTATCAAGGAAAATTTTTCCTAACTGACTACTATAAATTTCATTGTACATTAGACAGGAATATTCTTTGTTTAAAGCTGATAGTGTTGTGTGTTCTCATAACCTGATGGAAAAATAGCATATTGGAATTGTAAGGAGAGGCTGCATGGTAATGACTTGTGGAAGTTAAGGGGTTACATGTGTGAAATAGTACCTATTTAGAGAGAGTCATCCAGACTTGGTGATAAAGCATGTGTCTTTTGATCAATCAAGTGCTTACTGTTAATTTATAGTTTGATATAAAAATGTGATGCTTGCTCCACCAGGATTGGACAATTTACAATCATGCGAGTACTCAGAAATATTATGATTGCTTTGTCAAACTTTTTTTGTCAGTGTTAAGATATCTGTATAACTTAGGTGTATGTTTCTTTTTCACTCTTAGGAACCAAAGACACCCATTGCTTCCATCCCTTTACCAGGAAATGAGGTTGTTAGACACCCACCTGATTCTGGAGAGCCTGGAAAATTCAAATTTGAAATTGTTTGTAAGTTTATTAGTTCTTTTCAATGGTAGTGAAAAAATGACTTCCTACATGTATTGGAGAAGTAGACAAGTTAAAAATCAGTCCATTCCTTTCTTCCCTTGTCATCTCCTTGCTTTCCTTCTTCATTCACTTCCTTCTTCCTTTTAATTTATGATCTGGTATTTTGGTCACTCTTCTTTGACTAGAATATTGTTTCCAGTTCACATAATCCAAAAGCAAAGATAAAAATATCTCTGTGAACCAGTAATCATTTTCTTGGAAATTCACTGTGTCATTGCTGTGCATGTATGCTTTCTATTGTGATTATTTATATTTCAGCTGGGAAGAACAGAGAAGGGCGACCAGTGTCAAGTAACCATGATACGTTTCTCTTGATTGCATCTTCACAACAGGAAATGGATGAATGGATTCAAGCCATAAATAGAATAATTTATGCTGTAAGTTGTGTAAAATTACTTTAAGTTAATGACAGTAATTCAGCATCAATAGTTATCTTATGATCAGGTTATTTAATCTGATTGTCAAGTCCCCTTTTCACTTCATTCCATTGCTTCAAAGAGTAACTTATCTCCTATTACATTTGCCAAAGTATTTTTGTATCATTTGGATGTTTTTGCTGCCTGTCATTTCTGTTTTAACTGCTAGTGCATTAGTGTCATGTAAGAATTTTGTTGCTTGATTACTTCCTATTTTGTTTACTTTGCTTTGTTTTTTAAAGCTTAAAATGAAACACTGAGTGACTTTTGATGAAAGAAATACTGTTTCATCTAAGATGAAAATTTTAATAAATTTCACCTTGGAAATGTTGCTCACAGAGAGAGTATCCTTGGAGTTTAGCCCCAAAATCTCACAAATGTTAAAACAATTTTGTAAAACTCTGGTATTACTTAGCGTTACATTTGAATCCAAAACTCTTAAATTGTCTTGAAAATATTACACTTCACTGACAAATGTGTTGAATTAGTTATCTATGTCAGTGTTAATAGTTGGGTGGTGTCCAATTTTCACAACTTTTTACCCCTTCACTCTCCTCACTGCAGCATTTTTTGTGCTTGTTTGGCTGATATTATGTCACATGAGATAATAGTTAGATTAATTCTTATGATTCCAAAGTTACTGTCTGTTGTTAATTTATATGTTCAACCATTTTGAGGTTTAAAGGTTTAAAACAGATAGTATGAACTAGTAGAACTCAGTTACTGTGCTACAAACAACTTTACACTTGGTCTTAATGACATATATGCTCCCCTTCAGCCTGTAGGAGGTGGAATGTTTGGTCGTAGTTTGGCTGAAACTGTCAAGTTTGAAGCCAGGCGTGGAGGAGGATATGTCCCTCTCATAGTTTCCAAATGTGTAAACTTTATCAAGACAAATGGTAAGAAAAAAGCAGGCAGTAGAGTTGAAAAGTTGAAGCTTCAAAAGGTGTTGATGTCTTTTGTTGACAGAAGAAGAGGAAATACAGGTCTAGTTCTGGTTTGGAAAGAATAAAATAACTTTATCAGACATAGTGTTGGCGAGTCGCATCATGTTTAAATGGGAGTTTTCAAAGGCGAGTGTTTGTAAAGGTTGTTATAATCAGAGGGATTTACTATCAAAATTGACCTTTTTGAATGCTTCAGCCTTTCTCCTTCAAAATATTAAAGTTCCTTATCAAAAGAGAAGTACAATTGTTTGTCTTAAGATATGGCCACATTGGATGTGGACCATAATTTTTCAACTGCATACTGCTAGTCGTCTTCAGGTGATGAGGTTGACTGAGTTAAACTTCATATGCACAAAGTGTTTCGCAAAATAGTGACCATGTTATTTGAGGCTCTTGGCCTCTAATCATCAGTATGTTTGTTTTGTCTATCACTCATTTATGATGGAAAATTTCATTGCCATTATCATTTGTTTAAAGCTTCAGAAGCTGAATGCCCTGGGATAATTTCTAGTGACATGATATATAACAAAATTGAAATTTTGAAAGAAAAGAGTGATAAAATCTGACAGAAATGGAGGGGAGGTAATTAAAAGTAGAGAATAGAAAAAAATGTTTCTTTGAAGTTGCCCCAGCCCCTAGTTACTTGAAATTTATTGTTTGTGTTCACCATTGACAATTGGTTACATGAACTTGTAAATATAAAATATTATGTGAAATGTAACATACCACATTTTTCTTTTGATTTTCAAAGGTTTGTTTGAGGAGGGTTTATTTAGATTGCCAGGCCAGGCAAAAAATGTAGCAGAACTGAAGGATGCCTTTAATAGAGGTACATGATATGATGGAAACCTGTGTATAGACCATATAATATAAATTTAATGTAAATTTTCAAAATTTACACCAAAAATAAAAATCTGCATCTATATTTTAAATATGCAGGTTAAGTTCCCCCATTAGTAAATGTATATTGACCCTTAATTGTGTGTGTGTGTATGTGTGTATGTGTGTGTACACACATATCCTTGGGTACAATTATTTTTCATTGTTTGAAAGCACAATTGTCCTGTGAACAGGAGAGATTCCAGAGCTGATGAGCAACAAAGCTGAAGTTCATTCTGTGGCATCAGTGCTCAAGTCATACTTCAGAGAACTCCCTGAACCACTCATACCTTATGATTACTTTGAGGTGTTTTTAACTGCTGCAAGATGTGAGTTAAGCAATTATTACATACAAGTTTGTTTATGACATATAATGTGTTTGGTGCTCAGCCTTGTCTCAAGCAAGGTTCTTCCCATTGTCCCATAACAATATTTGTCTCTATTAAAATTCATCACTTCAAATTTTTAATTTCATTTATTTTGGTTCATTACTTCAATAATTTGAAACTTATTTCTAGGTTATCAGTGCTCCCTATGGCCTGCATTAGATTTAGATTGTGAGAAAACAAATTTAACAGAAACATCACAGTAAAACAATTATTGCTATAAGCATCAATTGCAGTATGAAGAGAATTCCAATATTAACTTCTGAACACTATATTGTAGACTGAGTCAATGTTAATTGTGATCATTAAAAGCTAACTTTGCTGGCATTTTGTTTACTAGACAGGTTCAATAGAATTTGATTAATCAAAAGCTACATGCAAAGGATCCACTAAGAAACAATTAAAATATCTTACATTGGGTAATGCTGTATTTGATTTTTCTCATGCTCTGAATTGTTGTTTCAACCAGGCCACGAAATGTACGTTGATGATGGGATCACTGCAATAAAGAAACAACTACAAACTCTTCCACTTCCAAACTATCATCTTTTAGCCTATTTGTGGTAGGTTTGGTGGAGTTGTGTTGGTGGAGCATTTTTCCACTTAAGCTTTTGTCAAGTAGCAAGTCCAACAATCTTTTGCCCAGCCTAATGTACAGGCTGTAAGGATTGGGTGCATAGTGGGTATCTTGTTTCATGTGGAAGGAGTCCTTTTGAACTATTTTTTTAAAAATTCAACATTTTCTCACCCAAATAGATTAATTGAACTTAAAAATATTCCAAACCTCCCCACCAAGATTTTACAAGTGTAATCAAATTGAAACAAAACAGAGGAAATTTCTTTATAGCAGGGCTGACCTGCTTCCTGAAAACATTCTTGGAAGAAGAGACCTTTCATAGACCAAGGAGTTATAAATCTTGGATTAAAAAAGATCATGTATATTTATGACTTTTTTTCATGATTTTAGAATAACAAACAAGCAATGCATTACATCGGAGAGGATTGCATACTATGATCATAAATATAAGTTTAGGCAGATGATGAAATTGGGATGGTAATGTTTTCTTCAAATATCATATTTCTACACTTTCAGTGAGCAGGTCCATGTTGTAATTAAATGTTTTGTATTTGTTGGAAACAACAACACATTTTTTGCCTTTTTTAGGCTGTGACAGCAATCTTAAACAATGATCTATATATACCATAGCTTTTTATGCTGCTTTATGCTTGATTCTCTGTCAGCTAGCAAGTCAGATGAGTATTCATTGAGTCATTACTTTTCTATTTTTTCAGTCGCTTTTTATTTGAAGTTCAAGAACACTCTGAACAAAACAAAATGGGTCCAAGGAACCTTGCAATGGTTTTTGGACCAAATATTCTGCGGTCAGGGGTAGGTTACATAATCTTCCAGAAGATTCAAAGAAGCACTCACTTTATAGTCTGAATGTACACCATGTTGGAAAGCAAAAAATCTATATAAATTATGCATGTAAGCTTTTTAAAACTTGACTAAAATGGCATGAAAAAATTTCCAGTTCATGCACCAGTCCAAGATAACTCAAGTACCACTCATTATTAACAACCAGACCCTTGAGGTAACTTTAGCAAAATGATTGAATGGCTTAGACTTACAGTGCTCACCATCCACTGTGTGAAGACAGTTCTCAGGTAGACATCTAGACTAGTCTCTCATGACATTTAAATCCAGCCAACTATGCCATGCATTCCCTGTCCTCAGCAGTTGAGGTAACCCTTGAATCAAATGTAAAAGTTATTAGGGAAAATTAAATAATCACCAATTTAAGAAGCTCCTGATTGTCAAACAAATTCTCTCTATCAGTACCATGGGAAATGAAGAGAATGTGAATTCTGTGGTTGGTTCAAAAATTAAACGTTATTTTTGTGAAAATAGGCATTTGAGGTGTGAACTATTTGATCGCAAGTCTTGTTTTTCTATCAGTCAGAGGATCCTCGGGTTATGATGGAGAGTACAAACTTAGTAACAGATCTGATCAGTATCTTGATCAGAAAACATCAGTTGTTTTTCCCCGAAACTGAAGATGTACAACCCCCTGGACAGCCTACCACAAGGTAACGTAAACTTCCTTATCATTGGGCATTACTACATTATAAATGAGAAGCGATTTTGGAAGTCAGAGGAAAAGCATCGATTTAGAAGGGCGGAGATCCACCGGTATCACCCACACTGTGTGGAACTTTCGAAAAGCCAGCAGTCCTTTCCGTAAACTTAACGTTAGTGGACGTTTATGCGGCTGACTCCAGGTGGCTAGAAACAGTTTTATAAGACTCTGATCAGCTGTATTCAGGGAGCCTAAAAACCAGCTTGGCCTCTTTGTAGTCGAACATTTCTCACAGTTGTTGACCAGAGTATTCAAGTTTGAATTAGTGGGCGTGATATGACAATCGCTGTTCTTATGCTCATGTTATGGGGAAATTCCATTAAATAGTTTTTGAGGAAGGTCTCAAAGCTCCTAAGTGGTGCAGAATGATGATAATGCAAAGTTTATCGTTGATCTATCAGCTATGCCATGACACTGCTCATGACAAGAACCCTAACAGCCAATAGCCGATAATCAGAATGCAAAATGTTAATAAAAGTTATGTTTACTCGCAATTTACAAGCTACGTGGAAAATCACAAGAATCAACACCAGCTGTAAAATAGTGAAATGGTTTGTTTTCATTTGCAGCGGCGATTTGATTGATTTTAATCCTGACTCCCTCCGGACTCAGAAAAGCGTAGACATCAGCTATCCTGATAATGAAGACGATATATGTATGTACCTAGTAAGGAGGGGAGGGGTAAGGGAGGAGTAATGAAGGAGTAGGGAAAGGGAGGACAGGGGTGGGACATGGAGGGATGTTAAGTCAGTGATTCTAAACTTATTTACCGCCAGACACCGTAGTCGTTTTGTGTGGAGGTTGTTAAGATACCAGGTTCGCACAGGTTCGTAATGTGTAGCATCGATGATATTGAAGTTCTTCGCATTCTTCGAGCTCTTACCAGTTTTAAGCTATTCTCAGCTGTTGATTAGAATGAAAACCTCAGTGTAAGATAAAAACAATTATTAACTAAGGTGTATTCTTAACAGCGGAAATGATACCTCTAAAAAGACTAATAGAGCATTGAATCTGTTTTAGCTGAAGATCCTCGAAGCCAGGTGCTTGAATTGGAAAATGAACTAGAACTTCAGCAGCAGCAGATTAAGGATCTTCAATCAAAACTTGAACAAGAAAGGAAAGTTCGCGAAATGCTGGTGTTGCGGTTAGCAGATGAACAAAGAGCGCGGTAAGTTGTTGGCTTGGTACTTTGTACTGCTGAAGATCTTCCATCATTAGTAGAGGAATCGTGAACGCGATAACCCCTCCTCCCCCCCCCCCCCCTCCCTGAATAAGTTCGTGTCCTTTCTTTAATCTTCTAACAAATGTTACCCTTTTAGACAAAGCAGTTGATTACCAAGTTTAAGCTGACTTTTTTAAGGGGGGAGGACAGGGAAAACAGACATGGTAAACCAGATAGTCATTGTACTTTTTAGGGCTATAAAGAAAGAAATTTCCAAAATTAGTGACTTTTAAGCTCTCCTGCTAGTTCCTTCAGCCAGAAAAAATGTACCATTGAAATTGCTCGTTGTTTAGGGACATACATATACGTCTATAGAAACCGAAACTAAATCTGATACACGTCCACGGGACGACATACTGTTACTTTAAGGGTTTCTCGAAATTTAATCATGTTTTGAAGGTGCTTGTGTTTTGCAGCATCAAATCCATGTTCAATTTTCATGGTGGATTTTAATTGCTCCCGAAAATCTTAATGATTTGTTTCCCTTGTTCAACAGAGAGTCTGCTGAGGACCGTCTGGAAAAACTGCAAGCCGCTATGGAGGAATTTTGCGCCAAATATGGCAGTTGGGAGCCAACTAATAGTTAGACTTCATTGTGTTGACATTAGTCAATGTATGTCTCTGAAATATCTGTTGTTTCAAAAAGTTTTATCACTCAGGCCATGGCTTGCCGTACGCAATGGACGGTGTAGCAAACGGGAAAGCCACATACAAAACCCAAGATGAAGTCGCGTGAAGTTTAGATGGTTGTCTCCTTCGCAGTCGTAGTGTACTCTCACTCAGCACTCTCTGTGCCCCCCCCCCCCCCCCCCCCGAGGGTGTTGCGCGATTAAGGAACTGCATTGATGTTTAGCGTCAATGCTTCGTAGAACTTAATTTAAGTCCTGAGTGAAGTTAGATTAGTTAGAAATATTTCATTTTAATGACAAAGAGATATTGATCTGAAAATCATCATATTGCCTGATTTAATTCAGCTGATCAATCCTGAAAATTTCGAGAAACTAGACCGAATTCGATAAATGCATCGATAATCAAAATCGCTCAGAATCTCATTGTGCTAGCTAAAAAGAAAGATAGAAAGATATCTTTTGGGGGAAGAAACTCCTATTGATCGCCGTGGTTTAAAAATGTGATGGGAAAAATGAAATAAGGAAAGGATACGCGGGAAAAATGTATTTTGAGACGGTTTTAAATTTACTTTTCCTCTGCCTTTTCGTTTTTGAAAAAGAAATGCAGCCTTTAATCACTGTGTATATCTATTTTTGTACAAAAATTCTCAAGCTTATTTTATACGAAAGGTTAACCATCGATAGGGTTAATTCCTAAATGGGGTCATATAGAAATGGTTAAGACTTGTAGGGAAGTTTATTCGCAATCTTCAGCATACTCCGGAATTCTGAATTTGTAATTGCTCCTATGAACGAACACTTGTTTGTTACACGCGCCTCAATCTTACACAGTTAAACCTCCACAGGTAATCATAGCAATATTAGTTCGACTTACATGATGATTATGGCCCTAAACCCTTGCTGGAAATTTAGTCGTTCGTAACCCTTGGAATTAAAAGAGCGTCTATGTACTGGAAAGTGTGGAAGTCTTGATTTATAATGGTAATTGCACTGAATGGAGTGCAATTTAGGCTGAAATCATACGCGTGATTTCAGACCAAAATTGCACGACACTAGGTTCAATCACCACTTTATTACATCCATTTTGAAATCGCCCAAATGTAGGACTTGGTCAGTTCAAATATTTTATTGATGCAGTACTGAGCCGGTCTGAAATTAAATTCATGTCCATTTTGGGGGGGGGAATAAGAATTAAGAAACAAAAGTGGCCAAATCTGTCACATGATACTCCTTGTCTTTCATTTTCATGCAATTTGATCGGTTACTTTAAATAAGCCTTGAAATCTGATTGGTTGTTTTGTTTTTAGTGTAGCCTCCTCGTTGGCTGGGAAAAAGATACGATTTAAAGCAAAAAATGGCGCGATTCGTGAATAAATCGCATCAATTAGAGCCAATCAGATTACAGGAACCACCAGTGATTTCAAAATAAGTGTAATAAAGGTTTTAACTTGTGTGCCCAAATTAAATTAGGGCCCTGAAAAGCGCACTAAATCGCTCAGATAGGCACGAGCAAATGTTTAAAACAAGTGATGACGGTGATGGAATTTCGGAGTTTTTGACCTAGTTCTTACTGAGGGAAGGTTTTTTTTTCTCTCTTACCCTCTGGTGTACAGCCATTTATCCAGTCAAGAACTTGGGCACGCGTAGCATGCAAGAGTTATTTTTTGGCAGGGGTTGAGATGGGACACTGTGTACCTAATGTTTTCATTTTTGTAACAGAAAAAGAGCATAACTTTTAAAAAAACAAAAATATCGCATCATTTCAACTTAAGAGAAAGGGGAAAAAAACCTAATTTATCTGAACTCACACAGGTATTTTGTGGTCTATTGTCTCTATTGTCTGAAGACTTCTAAGTAAAAATAAAATGCATCGGTGCTACGCTCATTCTCCTTTGCAGCAGTTGTTTGGTCTCGTCACACAACGCCGTCTCCTCCCCATTGGAGAGAGAGCGCGATGGGTGACGAGACCAAATAACGGTTGCAAAAGGAACTACGCTTGCTGCCGTTCCTCTAACAGAGAGAAAATCAAAATTATTCGTCATCAGTAAGTTGCCTCGAAAATGTAACTCCACGTAATTTTACTCAGAAAAGCAAACTGAAACTCTGCTCTATCTTTGATAGACCCTAACTTAAGATATACGGTAATCTCGAATAGGTGAAGGTATATTGAACAAGAAAAAAGGATATTATTTCAAAGAGGGCTCCTTAATTGGTTGTTGCCTATCTGGACTTTGCTCTGTGTGTGAAATACGTGATAAAATTTAGGCTGTTCAAAAGGAATTAACACGTGATTGGGTCTAGCCCAAGGTAGCTAAAAGCGAATTCATCCGTTGAAAAAGTCAAATCGAGGGAGAATTGCGTGGAAAATTCACCATCAGTGACATTTAGTTCCAAGTGAATTTTTTGCAGTGGGGTTGAACAATGCGGTTAGAATACGTGGTAATGGAAGTTGATTGGTGAAATACAATTCAAGCACGTGAAAAATTACCTAGTGTTCATGCAGTGCAATGATTGGGTACGTTCTAATTGGACTTTGGACGTAGTTTTCACGGTACGTGATAAAATTTAAGTTATTTGGCGTGTGCGTTTCGAGTAAAGGTGCTGAAAAAACACGGTTTTACTTAAAAAGTATACAAAAAGTTGCGAACCTTTAATATCCCGATAAATCTTGACCTTAATCGACGAGGCTCTCACGAAGGCCACAAACCATTACACTTAACAAATGAGCCCAAAATTTCTGGTTTATGTCATTCTTTGTGCACAGCCCCTGATTCCATGACATCATTTACAAGAAATACCCACTCACTGAGAATGGTGCAAGATATCCAAATTCTGTGATATGATTGCTATGAGATGGATACCCTAATGCGGCGATCTGATTAGTGCGAGCAACATGCCACTCTATAGTCTAACATAGAGTTTTTTCTTTTTTTTTTAACAGAACAAAAATAACTCAAAAACGTATTCGTAAATTGTGGTCTTACCCTTGAATGAGCAAGTTTCCTTTAGTATAAATGTATTGATCGCTCACAAGAAGACGACCTTTGTTGTTCATGTCGTAAGCTTAGAGGATTCAAGAAGGAGCAGAGACCTTTGCACAATGTTTTTCGATATTTTATTTCATTGTTGGTTTGTAACCGTTTCTTGTACATGCGAGACGGTACAAGCGCGTACTATTCCTCTAAATAAGTTACGTATGGCGAGTACTGTGTGGAAATGATACACTAACAATGAACGTTGTTCAATTAATTTATAGTTATTTAAGTTCTTTTCCGTGTATGAATAAAAATATGCGTTGATAGATGTCAGACGAATACTTTGAACGATATATAAAACATGCTTGGTTTTCCTTACAAGTTTCCTAACAATCTAACTCGACTTTCATTACTTGAAAGACGCTATTATTTTCTAACAATAAAACTATAATAACGATTAAATAAAACTTAACTTACATTTAAACTAACGCGGCATAACATCGCCTACATAACAATTCGTATGAGAACACCAAAGGGGGTATTCCCGTGTATCATACGGACGGAAGATTGGAGTCATGACTGTTCCCCTGGTGATATCCGGGTGGTGTACCCTGCCGAAATGAATACAAAATAGGTACAAAATGAGTCGGTGTGTCCACTGTTGTTGTTTAGATACGAGTGATGAAGATTTTGAATGTAGCAGATGTAGCATAGCTTACTCGGCGGGCCATGAATAAATCCCACCGAATGAATTATATCACTGTTCGTATGGTCCACAGCAAACAACAGTTTATTGGGATACGGTATTAGTCATTGAGAGTCATCTGATTAGCTGAGACAGAGAATGTATTCTGAAAAGAGTATGATCACTTGATCTTGGTTGTCTAGGAGCGCGTAGTCAGCAGTAAGATGGTATGCCGCCTAACACGAGTTTTGCAAATAAGACGGTCAGAAAACACAACGCATCCGAGTTTTCCTGAGCACAGTTATTACATCAAAACATGAAAAGAAAAAACATCAACAACAAAAAACAAACAAAAAGACAAGTGTTTCGCTAATAAACATTTTTTGATGCCCACGTCCTAAGCCTATATTTGGTAATGTGATTAAATCTTACCTGTCTTTGTAATGTGCCGTTTTGGAATGGAGTCAGGTTTGTAATGTGTGGCATCATCGATATTGAAGTTTTCGCATTCTTCGAGCTCTTCCCAGTCTTATAGCTGTTCTTAGCTAATTGATTGGAATGAAAACCTCCGTGTAAGAGAAAAATAAACCTTCAACAGGCAACTCTTAACAAATACTAAAGAACATAAAACAGCAGCTAGAAAAAGAAAACCGACAAAGCAGTAAAAAAATGTTTCACTACCTCTTAAAGTAGCGCGCTGTTATTTGCATTCATCCATGAAATGTAAAGTTAAATTTAAGTTTTTTTTCGTGTGATATTTCAGTTCAATCGAGGTTTTGTTATGTGAGCATCGGAAAACACTATGCTACCAGAAGAGGAATCGAAGTTAAGAAACAAGAATGCAGTCAATATCTGCTTAAAGAACACCATTTGCGATCAAGTTGTCGCATAAGTTCCAACATCGAGAAACTAAACCCCACTGACAGCACATCACTAAGCCCTGAGAAACGAATGCATCATCTGTAGGATCTTGAGGTCGACTAGACTATTTACGGATACTTCTTAGTTCTTATGCTCCATACCTTCTGCTCCTGGCACATCAGGTAGATGTGGAAATTCATTCTCTCCTCTTGGCCGCTCCCTTTCTTTTTCCTTGTCTTTATCACGTTTCTTTTTATAGTTCGACTCTATTGATGACCTCTCACCATGTCGGCTGCCGAGATCGAAGTTACTTGAAGTTTTTTGCTCATAATAAGAGTCAGGTGAGGGATATAACGTGGTGCTGTGGTGGTTTGGAGGGGGACCTGTGCTCTTTTTGGAGTATGACGGGGGAGTCTTCTTCACTTTGCTGTCGTTAGCAACCCTGAAAAAATAAACAGTAGATGACTCAAACCATGATAATGATGCAAGTTATAGCTACCGGTAAGTCCGTTATTACTCTTCTGTTTGCGCAGAAGAAAATCGTATAAATGATCTGGATAATTTGGTTGAGCGGTTCATTTGCTGAATCTTTTCGTTGCGACCAGATGCAGGAATTTACATAGGTTTGAATTTGTGCGACTTATTGACTTGTTGAAGAGAGTTGTTACTGCGACTTATTTGGAAGCAGTTCACACTAAGCGGCTTATCGCAGAGACCAGTCGCTGCAACTTGTCACCTGGTGAGTAACGACTAAAACAATTTTTGCAAACATGAGATCAAATAAGAAATGATGAGCAAAAACAGAAAAATAATTTACCTGAAGGGAGGCGGCCCAGGTGGGGACTCATGCCGAGGTCCAACCACACCCAATCCAATATTTGTCTTCGATAAACTTATTGTATGTGAACTTCCACCTTTCGTCGATGTTCCCTGCGAAGACGTGACGGATCCAATCGAGCCTTTTAACAATGTTGTCACGGGCGATTCCTGTTGAGTGGGCGGTGAATTTCTAAGTGTACTAGCACTTTGTATAGGAGACAATTGTTTACCGTGAGGAAGGCCGGTAACAAAAGTGTCGAGTGGTGTAGGTGGAGCCGCAACTCCTGCTGTCCCACTATAAGATGTCGGTACATTTGATGTGGAGGCTCCCGTGGTAACATGCAGAGTGTGCGGCGGTGAATTTACCTGATGGTTTGTCACCGGTAATGCTGCTACCTCTTGCTGTAACACAGAAGAACTTTGTGATGTCGATGGAAGTAATAAAGTCTTCTTGCTCTGTTTCTCCAGGCCTGTTGTTTCCTTGTGATCCTTAGACTCCTTATGTTTCTTAGGTTCTTTAAGAGCTTCTCTCGTTTCTAATCTCTTTGCCTCCCTGGATTCTCTCGCTTCTTTGTCCCGTTGATCTTTCGCTTCACGTTCCTGGGCAGTAAAAGCAA